GCTCTCCAAAGTTTCAGCCTCTAAAGTGCAGGTTTTCCTTATGAAATTCATCTCCAAAGAAACCCAAAATTTGATATCATTGCCACTATTTTGAACAGTGCTCAGCAGCCAGGCTGCGTTTTCATGATGTCATTTCCATCCAAAGAATTTTGTCCATAGCTTGCGACAACTCTTTTAACTACCACTCTAGGTTATGGCTGCTCTTGAGCCATATCATTTCAAGCCAACCATGCTCTAAACCCCAAAAAAGATACTAGTGAAGATAGTATAATGGATAATTGGTTGGAGGAAAAACATTTTGCTGATCTTGTGAAGGATGCCAAGTCAGTTGTAGGTTTTTCTGATTCCCACCAAATTCGAGTTGGACGGAATGAAGTTACAAAGGCAAACACGGTCTGGCAGTCAAGTATCAAGTACAGTTTCAAAATGAAGACCTGTGTCCAAGGTCAAATTTTGGGTTTCTTTTCACACAAAGTTCTTCAGGATAGCAGGCCCTTTAGAAGCTGAAACTTTGGTGAGTGGAAAACTGAATGGTTACTTGTTAGGTGAAGACAAAAAAGTAAGCTATTTGGAGTGACCTCTTTAAATATGATTAACAGTGATTTCTCCTAACCCTTCAGCTTCATCAGATTTAAGTTTAGCAGCCAGCTGCTTTTCATGCTCTCGCACCAAATCCTCACGTTTGGCCTTCATTTCATCCAGGGTCACCAAACCTTTATAACAGAATAAAACAACCATAAAGTAAACAACATGCAGAGTTTCGACAAAACACTGACCCCTGGTCAGCTGCCCCCCTACTGACCTCCTATTGATCCCCCACGCTCTTATAGTTCTGGGCTTTTTAAAGTTTTCTTTTTCCCGTTGATTTTAAAAGGGGTCAGTAGTGGGATCAGTAAGGTGGGTCAGTAAGGGGGGTCAGTGTTTTGTCGTAGCCCCAGCATACATGGGTTAACAATTGTAATCGCTTTAAAGAGGTCATCAGAATCTTACTGCTACAATAATTAAAGTTTTGGTTTTAACCAGAGCCTAAAAAATTGATTCGTGACTTCCCTGGTAAAACCATCAGTTGACCAAAAAAGAAGAGCAAATATGTTTAATTTTCTGTGGTTAGGCTGCTACTGAACAAGAGCCAGCTCTTGAAGGCAATCCTTGATCTTTTTAGACTTTTCCCTGACCAAATGATACAAACATTTCTTTTTTATATATTACATGTGCCATAATTTATACTAACGAATGTAAACTGTCACTGTAAATAGTGCACAATAAAGAAGTTGAGTTGACTTGAGTAATATTTTAGTTACACTGTCAAACTTACCTATAGTACTTGACTTGAGCTGCTGCTCAACTACATCATAGTGAGATGAAAACTTGTTGCTAATATCTGCAATCTTGTGATTCTGCAAGAAACAAAATTCAACTACAATAGTTCGATTCATTTCATAGTCATCGATCTAAAGTTTACGAAAAAAAATCCAAATTCGCGAGACAAAAAACGTACCTCAGATATCTTGTTCTTGGCAGCTTCAATATCAGCTTTCATTTTTTCTCGTTTTTTCATCAGGGCCATGGCCCTAGCGCCTTCTTTCGCAGCTCCCTTGTATTCCGCCATTTTGCCTCCTTCTTGGCTTCGCGCGCGCACAGCTTGCTGGGATAAGCGCTTGGCTGGTGCCAGGCTTTCATGCATAGGATGAGCCTGATCGCGATAATACTATTAGTAATCAAAGATTATTAGAATTAGAATTTCACTTACCGGATCGTGTCAACAGGAGGCAAAGAATGACGCGGCGGCCGATAAATGGGTTACTCACCGCAAAAGCCCGGACTAGACTAGCTACATGGAATGTACGCACTCTGTACCAAACCGGGAAATGTGCACAAGTAGCAAGTAGTCTCATCAAATGGGAACCAGTGTCCGACAGGATAATTACAGCAAGGTTAGATTCTCATTTTCAAAAAA